TGCTCCCCAGGCCACAATTCGTACATCCCTTCTTCATATCTCGAATTGTTGGCTGGCCTCCTAAATACTGCAGCCCAGCTGCAGCTTCTGCGTGTGACCGTGCTCGGATGGAAGCACGTAGAACTGTTGCCGGATTTCAATTCCAGGCGTCGAAAGCAGCTGCAAGCTTGCAGTGATCAGAATACACACCAGTATGTATGTATAGCAGTTGGGGGGGGGGGGGGATCATCAGGTGATTCACTCTTAAAATACTGGCAACGCGAATGTTAAACACATGACTGTTGGACAATGTTTTTTTTCGAAGCAGACAGCGTTGTGATATGAGAGATCACAAATTTCGGGTGAGACTGTATGATTATAACTATCCCTGTAAGAGGCCGTGGAGACCCAGAGGGTTGTGAGACGTCGAGGCTCCCACATTTTCTAGACAGTCGGCGGTAAGGTTGTCAGCCTTACACGCCAAGCTATCCTTGTAACAGGTCGTGGAGTCCCATAGGGTTCTGAGACGTCGAGGGTCCCACATTTTCCAGACAGTCACCTCACAGATGGCGGTAAGGTTGTCAGCCTCACGCGCCAGGCTATCCCTGTAATAGGCCATGGAGGCCCAGGGGGTTGTGAGACGTCGAGGCTCCCATATTTTCTAGACAATCGGCTCACAGATGGCGGTGACGTTGTCAGCCTTACGAGCCTACCGCAAATTTACCCCCAGAAAGATTCCTGTTACTCATTTCTGTTAGAGGCTGAGCCGACCCCAGGGTCATAGTGCCGCTGGGAGGATCATGTCAGTGGAAAAAAAAAAGCTAATGACCATTCTACATGTAATGTACCACAATGGCTGAAGCACTATAATGCTTCTCTATACAGTATCATGGGAGGGCTTTACAAACTGTAGCACAATACAATTCTATATACTTTCCACTTCCCACTATTATATTGTATATGGAATAATGTGGACATGCCGTGACGTCATGTTTCACGTCATACGTTGCCTACTACACCCTGACCCGAAGAGTAAACTCACAGCCTGACGGACAAGTGGAAGTCAATCTTTGACGCGTAGTTCAAAGGTTAGAAGAAGCAACGTGGAGACAGCGAAGCATCTCATTATACACGTAGCAATTTTACACTCGAAACTGCAAGAAAGAGACAAGCAATAGGACTATTATCCTGAACCGGGAAAAGAACTGCTTTGAGGTGGGTTCCAAAAAAATCATACGCCGATATGGGGACCTGACATTCCAAATTTCTCTAACTTATTGTGATTTAGAAATAAAATCGACGAATGTTAACTTCAGGAATTTGTCCCCTCTGGTTCAAGAATACTGTATAGAAAATATTTCCTCACCATTCATTACAGCAACAATAAAAGCAGGAATAGCTCGGTCAATACGAGTTAAGTGGCCGGAGTTCAATTCCCGACAGAGGCAGAAGATCACACGCCTAGAAAATGCGAGGACTACCCAGGGAAGTTGGTAACTTTTCTTCCCGGGAGTAATGCGATGAGAACGTGGTAATTACTCTTCACGTTCATGTAGTCCCAACGATAAGAATGCATGGAGCTTTGCCTCAGTTCCACAATACATCTTCATGAAGTCATGCATAGCTGTAACGCTCGGGACGTGCTCCGCTGGAATCTAGGCCCGGACACCGTACTTCCTGGTTGAGATTTGTCGTGATTTTCTTTATGTCCGCCTCTATACAGATGCTGAGATATTGTCTCGATTGGGCCATGGCCACGTTTCCCAAATCCTTACGGTCTAACATTCACCTATACCAGCTTACCGCCCACCACTCTATACTTTACTGCAAGGTCATAAAAGGTGCTATACAGGGTGTACACATCGGGGCACGCGGGTTCGATTCATGATTCATAGGATTTTTCAGCTGACCTAATCATTCCTGCGGTCGACTCAGCCTCTAACAGAAATGAGGAATTTTCCTGGGGGTAAAAGCCGGCCCGCGCGTAAGGCTGACCTTACCGCCATTTGTGAGCCGATTTCCTATAAAATATGGGAGCCTCGACGTCTCACAACCCTATGGGTCTCTCCGGGATGTCACAGGGATGGCTTTACCATATATTCTTGGCTAGCATATAAACGGAAATTACGGACTGAAATTATATTTCCGGAAATGCGTACTTTATATTGTAGCTAAGAACACCCAATATGGAGGTTAAGTGTGATCGTCCTCACAGGCTTGCTACTGTCGGATTCATCGTCCTTGCAGTTCAGACGCGAATCGACGACTTCCGCTTTCCTCTAAAACCGGATGACACTAGTATTCGTAACTCAGGCAAACAGGAAGAAGATAAACGCTACAAACAATAGGTTTTGGGACAATACTAATCGCCTACCTTCCTTTGATATAAGGATCGCACAGAAAATGAAAAAATGTGGAAAACAAGCATACAGAGAGCAAAGCAATCTCATAAGCCTCCTTGAAACGAACAAGAAATTGGGGGGGGGGGGGGATACAAAGACAGAGAAATTGAGACACATAGATAAGAAGGCGATCTCATAAGGTTCTTTTAAAAATACGGAAGGCAGGCTAAAAAACATATAAGTTGCTGCTGAAGTCATATTAAACGGTGGCGCTTTCGGTTTTTTTTTTTATTTTTACCACAAAATAATGAAACACGCAAAAATAAAAGACATACAAGAGTCATATGTAAGGTTAGAGGCTTTCACATCGGTGGTTATGAAGACCTCTTCTATTTTCCGGGATATAACGCGGCGTAGTCAGTTAAAAATCAAACCGACGTTTCGGTGGGATATATCGTCTCCATCTTCAGCGTCGAAAGAACATGCCAAGCAAGAAACCGGCATGCTGGTTTATTCTTTGACCCTAAAGATGGAGGTGACATGTTCCTCCGAAATATCGGTTGACTTTCATCGGACTGCACGGCGTTGCATCCAGTCACAGTTTACTAAATCACGCCTTGCCCTGACATTAGACGAAGTGATGGGAACAGGAAAAAAAAGACGCTGAGGAAGGAAAACGTAATATTCCGTTAGAGACACGGCGCGGCATAGCAAGTAACCAATTTGCATAACTTCGCCTTGAGTCATTCATAACCTTCACACACATTGATAGGAAGATGGCGTACATTTGCATCAGTTTAACCACAAGACTGTAACACTTCTCTATGAACACATTTAGTGGCGATAATCCTCAGCAATTCTACTTAATATCTAAAATATTAACGCATACACATGCATATTATTCGACGAAATAGAGATTGAACTCGGGTAATGCTTGCTACCATTCAGTCCAGAACCTTTTGTCTTCTCATCTACTGTCTAAAACATAAATATTAGACTGATATATTAGTTTTTTGGACTTTATCCATCGTCCTGGTTTTTAAGATAACTAATAAAAACACTGGACCAGTGATTGAGGCTAGCTCTTTCTAACGGACCCAACAGAATAGGTGTTTTCCTTCACCTGAGGACGGAAACAGATCCAGTTTCCGAAACGTCATGTTTTTATTAGTTACCTTAAAAACCAGGACGTAGGATAAAGTCCAAAAAACCAACATATCAGTGTGTTATACACCATCGTCAGAATCCTATTGTAATAAATATTAGAATACACAAAACTATAATTCTGCCTGTGGTTCTGTATGGGTGTGAAACTTCGTCTCTGACATTAAGGGAGGAACACAGACTGAGGGTATTTGAGAACAGGGTGTTGAGGAGAATATTTGGACCGAAGACAGATGAAGTGACAGGAGGTTGGAGAAAACTGCATAATGAGGAGCTTCATAATTTGTACTCTTCTCCAAGTATAATTAGAACGATCAAGTCAAGTCAAGGAGGATGAGACGGGCAGGGCATGTAGCACGAATTGGAGAGAAGGGGAATGCATATAGATACTGGTGGGGATGCTAGAAGAAGAGAGACCACTAGGAAGGCCAAGACATAGGTGGGTGGATAATATTAAAATTGATCTAAGAGAGATAGGATTGAGTAGCATGGACTGGACTGATCTGGCTCAGGATAGGGACCGATGGAATGCTCTTGTTAACACAGTAATGAACCTTCGGGTTCCATAAGATGTTGGAGAAATTCTTGAGTAGCTGAGCGACTGGCGGCTTCTCAAGATGGGATCACCTCCATGGAGTTAGATATATATTACTCAGTACTTATTTCAAATAATCTAACTTTAATTCTGAAACCTTTGTCATACTAATAGCCTTGTCTGGATGTAAATTTTATTGGCTTACTATGAAAGTTCTTTTTAAGAGCAGACTGCTCTAAGTAGCGCTTGCGAGCCTCCTCTGTTGGCATGTGGTCACCCGACACGAGCTATTCACGAACTTTGTTGCTCAGCATATGGCACCTTTGGAACAGCTAAATCTGTATGTTGACGCACAAGGGATCGACACAAGAGGGTCATCAGTGCTTGTAAAATACGGGAATCGACATTTAATTATTTTTTGTTTGGTAAAGAAGGCCGCAACACTGAGTAAAGGTGGTCAACTCTTTGAATCGCTTTGGCCATAACATGTACCATCTATTTTACTCTTAGCAGGAGCTGATATTTGTCTATGATTCTCATAACAATGATTACTTCCATAAACATCAATAACCGACAAGTATTTTTAATGATGTCACAAAGTGTTTTCTGTGGGCGAAAAACGGAATTCTCAAAAGTGAAATTTGAGGTTCTCACAGCAGTAAATATCAAGATTACTATTTTCTTCGATCTGACTCAGTATAATCTGGAAGAAAAGAGTTAAGATTGAGGTAGGAAGTTCCTCTGACATGTCTATGTACCTACCAGACTACTCGGTGTCATATCCCAGAAGACAATTAAGTAACCTAATTTTCTTTTAAATATTTAGACGTGTTTCATGCTTCGGATGGTTAATACGTGAAGTTGAAATTAAATATTGAAGTGTATTTACGTCGAAATGATTAATTACAAACACACATAAATTTGTTGAAACTGCTTACCTCTACCCGTTACTTCCAACAATTCGAATAAAATTCACTCACCTGTTACAAGGCGGTGGAAATGATTCTCCGCTAACGATGGTCACAGATAACAGGAGACACACTATACCTATCTTTCTTTTAACCATACTTGTTTGTTCTGAAAGCACGCCCCCCCAATAAAAACTAACAAAACGTAACCACCAAGTTTCTTCACAGATCCTTTCGTTAAAATACACTTCACTGTGTAGTTCAGAACAACAATCAGCTTGTAGCTCTGTGGTGGCGAACCCTGGCTTCCTGTCGAAGATTCTCCATCATCTCCACTGCGCTGCGTTCATAGCGACGGTCCCTGCAGAATAAAACACAGTTGTGTCCGTCAGCAGGTAGCTATCGCGCGGTTAGCAAGATGTATATGGAACTTCACTATGCAACTCTCGCGTACTAGTGTTGCGTGTTAACGAGCATACAGCCTTTAAAACCTCAGGGGCCAAACCATTGCATCAGCCAAGCTCACGCTGCCAGTGGTTGAGTCCACGACAAGCCCCTCTATGTGCGTCATTTGATTGGCCAACAGGCGAACACACCTCCATTGTGGTCTTAGTACCGTGACTTGCTTTTTAACTCAGCTGGCTGGGGACTGTATATGAGTTACTGAGCTATCCAAGTCCGACAAGTCTACACCGTCTAGACTGCGTTAACAAGCACGGTAGCAGTACCTGTTTTCACAGCATGTACTCGGTAAAGCTGTAAAGGTTTCTATACGTTGGAAATGACAGGTATAAACTGCACATATATATCCAGAGAGGGGTTCGAACCCATGGACAGTGTTGGAAAGGCTGCATGGAACGTCCAAAGAATTTCAAAACACAGAACACAAGTATGACAATTCTTCGCGGTTCTCTTTGATACTTTAAAATTTATGAATTATTCTGTTAATTGGTTGATTTCAAGGTGGCTCTGCTTTCCATCAGCTTTCACTCTGAGTACATGACAGTTGGCGCGTAAGGCTGACAACCTCACCGCTATCTGTGAGCCGACTGTCTAGAAAATGTGGGAGCCTCGACGTCTCACGGCCTATTAAAGAGATAAATAACTTCACCTTCTTTTACCCTTACCACAGCTGTGAGTGTTCATACTGAATTCTGGGTCGTGACACCATGCAGTTTTGTAAGGATGTTCTGGAGTTACGAAAGAATATGTTACCTCCTATAGGGATGTAATGCATGGGGTCAAGAATCAGTTTGGTTACAGAGGCTGACTGGAAGCAAAGTGGTCACTCAGACCCGCAGGAAAGGGTAAAGAGATCTTCTGGGCTGACACCTTATGACGTCAGCAAGATGGATACCGACGGAGGATCACAATGCCTCCATCCTCAGGGTTGAAATGTGTAAAGTGAAGTAATATGTGGGTTATGAATGGAGGTTATAAGGAAGGCCCTCAGGGAAGAAATCCGAACAATCCAGATTCCACTTGAAGAAAGCAGTCTTCTGGGATTTGGCACCGTGTATATGTGGTGTTAACCGACGTTTCGGAGGAACGTATCGCCTCCATCTTCAGGGTAGAAGAAAAAATATAAGAAATCTGCAAAGCGAAGAGACCGTGAGAACCGGTAAAAGCAGACTGCTTTCTTCATAGTCACCGCCGTGAAAGCCTCAAATCTTACACAGATTCCACTTGCCTACTAACTCTCGTTTTGATAGGTTTATAAACTTTGCAGCTGAAATATGTGCTTTTATGTTCTGTTCAGACGTAACGTGAACACTTTTACTCCTACGGACTTATGCAATACAGCTTATCATAATTCCTTATCGCACTCATTATGAAAATTTGTAGAGAAGATAGCGAGGAGTAGATGTGGAAGTGTTTCATCCATTTACGAGGGCGATAAGTTGATGCTGTCAACTCTACCGATATGAGAAATTTATCTTTCGTCATATATCTAAATTACCTGTTTCCTGTTCGAAGCGCCGCTCAATAATAGAATTATAAATTACGTAAGATCTGAAACCACTCTGGAGCCGGGATAGCTCAGTCGATATAGCAACTGGTTACGGGTTGGACGAACAAGGCGTCGCAGTTCGAGTCCCGGTAGAGTCAAGAATTTTCTCTACTCCACGTCATCCAGACCGGCTTTGGGGCTCACCCACCTTTCTATTCAATGGGTACCCTGGGGGTAAAGCGGCAGGGGCGTGAAGCTGATCACTCACCTCCAACTAATGCCGAGGTCAACAAAATATGGACCTATACAGCCATTCCCCAATACGCCTTCACAGCGCAGTGCTTAATTAGTTAAGCACAGGGACAACTTTACCTTGCCTTAAACCACTCTTGAGTTATAATCCCGCAGTATATGACTGTATAGTCACATTTCTGTCATGTAATGGGGGGGGGCACGCGGTAGCGTAGTTGGTTTAGGCACTATGCTACAAGTCGGAAGCTCGCGGGTTCCATTCCCGATGAGGTCATTGGATTTTCAATTGACCTAATCCTTCCAGCCGCACTATGGCCCTGAGGTCGATTCAACCTCTATAAAAAATGAGTACCACGAATCTTCCTGGGAGTAAAGGGCGCCCGGCTGGAGAGTAAGGCTGGCAATCTCACCGCCATCTGTGAGCCGATTGTCTAGAAAATGTGGAAGTCTCGACGTCTCACAACCCTGTGGGCCTTCACGGCCTGCAACAGGGACAGCTTGGCGCGTAAGGCTGACAACCTCAACGCCATCTGTGAGCCGACTGTCTAGAGGAAATGGGCAAGCCTCGACGTCTCAAAACCGTGTGGGCCTCCACGGCCTGCAACAGGGATAGCTTGGCGCGTAAGGCTGACAACCTCAACGCCATCTGTGAGCCGACTGTCTAGAGAAAATGGGCAAGCCTCGACGTTTTCACAACCCTATGGGCCTCCACGACCTGTAAGAGGGATAGCTTTATCTTTTTTACCTCCTGTGATCATATGACTTGACACGTAAGGCTTTTAACGGCGTGTCTCAGTAACAATTCAGAGAAGTGTACGATTCTGCAGCACAATATGAAAGCAGACAAATCATTCAGATTGTGGTCTTACGGACTGTGACAGCGGAAACAGACGTTTCGGAGAAACCTGTTACCTCCATCTTCAGGGTTAAAATGTTGAATATACAGACAGCCTCTTTCAGCTTTGTATACTGTAACCAAACGGATCGACAGAGAGGTAACGCTCTTGATTCGTAATCGGGAGGTTCTAGGTTTGAAACTCGGTCGGGAGACTATCCCGACTAATTGTGGTTTTTCTTAGTCTCTCCAGGCAAATATAGGACAGTACCTAGGTCAGGCTGCGGCCGCTTTCAAGTTTTTGTACGTTTCGTGACACCTTTGCATGACAGGATATCAAAATAGGTCTAAAAGGAATAAGATGCAAAGGCATGAGCTGGATTCATCTGGTTCATCGTACTGTGGCATGCAGACCCGTTGCTAGGCAACGACCGCGAAATAAGAAGCTATACAACAGCCGTTGCTAAGTAATGGCTCTGTAAACAACGGTTATTGCTAAGCAATGGCTGAGTACCGATCATGTGGGCACTCCAACGGACGCGAACGCAACAGAGGAACGGTGTCTCCTGTGGAGTCCGTGCCGATATGTTACAAATACGACAAGTCATTGGAGTTATTGAGGAGTGAGCTGAGTTGGTTGGAGAATTCAGTAAGTAAGTAAGTAAGTAAGTTATTGGACTGCTCGGGATCGGTCCTTGTAAGCTGTTGCTGTCAGAAGATGAGTGCTGAGGCCGGGGACATTTCGGGAACCCAGAGTACAGGGAATGTCCGCCGTTGGAAGCCGTTACCAGAAAATGACTGGTGAAAACACAGCAGACTGAGAACACTTAAGTGTGTGTGTCTACTGAACTGTAAACTGTGTGAGTTAGCGAAACGGCTGTAATTATTTGTAGTCACAGATCTGTAAGAACCCAATAAATTCAATTACCAATCCAAACCTCGTCTATAATCACTCATACACGTGACAATACGGTCCAGTGGCGGGCTTTTGTGAACACGAGAATGAAATATAGATGGCGGGAGATTTAAGTGTGAAGAATATTATCTTGTGGTTTGTAATGCGTAATTCGGTAGAAGTCCACTGATGTTTCGAAGAAACGTATCACTTCCATCTTCATGGTCGAAGATTAAGCCACGCAACCAGAGCTCTGCTTGCCGCCTGCTTATTTCTGATGTCTCGCTTGCCTTACTCTTCGAGCCTGAAGATGGAGGCGATACGTTCAAACGTCAACTCATATCTACCAAACTGTATGGCGTCACAACCAATAGCGCGTGCTGTCCATAATCAAAGCTATAGGAATCTCAATGCCGGCTTTATCTTAGTTCTTTTTAGCCCACTTTTCTTTAATTTGAAAACAACAGGAGAATTATGAGATAACCTTGCGGTGTGTCCCCATCTAAAGCCTGAAAGTCGGAACAGTGGAGCCAGAAGAGATAGCCGTTGCTAGGCTTTGACAAACACATGCCAGCGGCAAGGTATACACACACAACAAAGAAATTGGTGGACGCGATATTTTCTATGCGGTCCGTGTCTTATCAAATACTCACTATGCAGTGAAAGGACATGATACTCCCGTGTGGAGGCGGCGATAAATACCTCCACCGTTGCCCTGCGAGTCGTAGAAGACGACGATAAGGGAACCCGGTGCCTTGGGGTATAACTAGGCCAACCTGTTCCTGGGGAATATAAATACTAGGCACTGGCCCTCCGGGTTGGAAAAATCACGAATTTGAGACAGTAAAATTTGGTCACGAGTCCCACGGGAGTCGGACCTGAGAATGACTGCGCTGGCGAGGACCAGAATCATCTGTAAATTACAGACCCATCCTCTCGCCAGACAGGACGTTACATAAAGACTACAGGTTCAACTATTAAGTTGAAAGAAAATGCTAGTCGTGAGTCTCAAGAGGATTGTCGCCAAGACGAACTGATTGGCGGCAAATCGCCTGTCGTAAAGCAACTCTGACTCTGATAGTAAGCGATTAGTTCTTCCCAGAATTTCTTGTTATTTAAATGTGTCGATAGTCGTGAATGGCCTGTACAGTTGCGTCAACGTCATACGCATTAACTAACCAAGAGGCATACAACTGTAGAAACTCTGGGATTTATGAGGTCGAGGTTAGGTTTTCCTAATGACCCCGAGTACAATCCTTTCTCCCCTTAAACCTGAACACGGAAACGCATCATGTATCCGAAAGGTTCGTGTATATCAACTATACAGTACATCAGACACTGAGCAATGCCCAACATAATATTCATATTTATTCAACAATTGCCACATACCTTAACAGAAACGTGAATGAAATGATTAAGACGACGTAA